GCGGGGGGGGGGGGGGGGGGGTTGGCCTATATAAGCGGTGGTAGGACCAAGTTGCTATTACGCGTATCTTGTTGAATTTGTCTGTCCCGAGATCTTAATCGTCCAGCCCCCCGAGCAGTTTGTCTGAAAAGGTAGATTTTGGTTCTTCTCTAATGGCAACCGAGCCGGTTGACTTGTCTTCTGGGTCGTCCTCAAATGTTAGGGTATTGTCGGGTGATATCGAGGCCGAGGTGTTGGCATTCAACGCCGAGGTCGACGCGGAGAGTTCCCTTGAGGTAGGGCATAGTGATAGTAAAACGTCGGGCAGTTCATCCGGTTCGGATATTTCGGACGCCGAGATGTGTCGCAAGGATTATAGGCAAAAGTTTCCTCCTTGCGACGTTCCGGGATACGAGTGGGTCGACGGCGAAGTAGCCGCCTATTTTTCTCGTTTCCATGCGAGGAGTGCCGTGGAGCACCTTCTTAGTATTTGTACATTGGCTCGGTGGGACGATTTAGAACCCTATCCGGTCAAGTTGCGTCCGTGCCGGGCCGAAAGCCCTGGCCCACTAGATCTTGTTTTCCTTGCGAAGCGGGGGGACGAGGGAGAATATTTTTATATGTATGAGTGCCTTTTCCGGGAACTGGGTGTGTCACTCCCACTGGACGACTTTCAGATGGGAGTACTTAGAGTGTTGAATGTGGCGCCGACCCAGTTGCATCCGAACGGGTGGGCGTATATGCAGGCATTCCGGGTGCTTTGTAAATACCATTACATAGAGCCTAGTGTAGGTTTATTTTTGCACTATTTTTGTACTCGTCCTTCAAATAAGCATATGAAGTGGTTGTCCCTAATTCGGCATGCCGACCGTCCATTGATGAGGCCGTACACCTCGTCTTTCAAAGGATTTAAGGGAGGTTTTGTGAAGGTGATGATTGATCCGGTGGTCGGTCGGAATTATTTCTTTGATGCCGAGCAGAAGCCTTTGTTTCCTCTATATTGGACGAGGCAGGCGCGAAAGTACGACGAATATCCGTTGGAGATGCTAACCGAGGCCGAGGTGTCGGCCTCGCGAATCCTAAACGGTTTGCCCCGGGGGATACCGGCTCGGTTCTTAGTCTTATTACCCAAATCGCCTCGGCCCCGATTTGAATTAGAGGGTATGTTCCGTATTTGCTCTTTTCTCTGTTCTTGTTAAGTTGATGTGTGAATCCTGTTTTTTGACAGGTTGGATGGCTCAGCACGGCGCCGGCGCCTCTTATCGGCAACTCATGCGGAACCGTGCAGCTGCGGGCTCGTCTGCCGAGGCTCACAGGACAGTGGTCGTTGATCAACCACCGGCCACCATGGTTGCACCGCCTCCTCCCCCCCCTGTCATAGCCCTTCCGGATCCTAATGCCAAGAAGAGAAGGGACAAGGGAAAAAGGAAAGCTGACGAGGCCCCGGGTGAAGGTAATCGGCCAAGGCAACGCCGGACCGAATCCCCCTCCACTGAGCTAGCGATCCCCTCGGCCATTGTTGCCAAAGACTTTTTATCCGGAGAGATCAGACCGTCTAGGATGATGTCTTCGGACCTTCTGTCGGAGCAGGGGCACCGGATGCTGGACTCAGCGAGCCCTTCGGCCAAGTGGGCCATGGCCTGCGAATTGCAGGTCAGGACAATGGCCATACTTAGGAAACTGGCTTTGGAACCGATGGCCGACGTCCACAAGCTTCAAAAGGATCTGGCGGAGACGAAGTCGGCCTTCCAACAGTCGGTTGAGGCTCACGAGGCGACGTCCGACGAGAAGTTCGCGTTGGAAACCTTGGTGGCCCATTTGAAGGAGGCCTTGGGAGAGTGGGAAGGTCGGGCTATTGCGGCCGAAGATGCTGAACGGGCAAGGGCCCGGGAGGTTGAACGCTGCTTTGGTGGCCGTCCGGACCGCGTGCGAGAATCAGGTTATTAAGGAGCACGAGGAAGGGTTTTGGCATGCCGTCCGACAGGCTACTTATTTCGGGTCTTTCCCCCCCGGCTTCTCTTTTGATTTGGGCAAGGATTTTTTCCAAGGTCAGTTGCTCGACTTTGCCGATGCCGATGCCGATGCCGACGCTGAGCCTGATTCGGTGGCGCTTCCCCGATCGGCTGCGCCCGAAGACCCCGGCACCACTGTGAATGATGAGGAGACCGAGCACACCACCAACGCCGATTGAGGGGTGCTTCGGATCTTTGTTTTTTGCTTATACATCTGTTTTGTTATGATGTATATAGGGTATATTTTTTGCCTTTCTTTTGATCGTTGTCGGCCATTTGGGCCTTGAATTCGTTGTATTCTTCGGCCATTAGAGCCGTTTTTTGGCCAAAGAGCCCTTAATGAAGTATGTTTGTTGTCAATCCGGATTTTACTTTGCTGAAGTCTTCTAAAATCTTAAGTAAAAATAATGATATCAAATGAGCGGCCAACTTGTCGGGTTTGATCGTGATCGGCTCCGGCCGAATGGGGGTATTGGATCGGACGGTATTGGCCTGATCAGTTTTGGGCCGGTGAAGGTGATCGTGAGGGAGTTTGTTTTTCTCAACCTTGGCCGAGCGAGGGTGTTCGGGAGGGAGTTCGTTTCTCTCAACTTTGGCCGAGCGGGGGTGCTCGGGAGGGAGTTCGTTTCTCTCAACCTTGGCCTAGCGAGAGTGTTCGGGAAGGAGTTCGTTTCTCTCAACTTTGGCCGAGCGGGGGTGCTCGGGAGGGAGTTCGTTTCTCTCAACCTTGGCCTAGCGAGAGTGTTCGGGAAGGAGTTCGTTTCTCTCAACTTTGGCCGAGCGGGGGTGCTCGGGAGGGAGTTCGTTTCTCTCAACCTTGGCCTAGCGAGAGTGCTCGGGAAGGAGTGTCTTTCTCAACCTTGGCCGAACGAGGGTGCTCGGGAGGGAGTTCGTTTCTCTCAACCTTGGCCTAGCGAGAGTGCTCGGGAAGGAGTGTCTTTCTCAACCTTGGCCGAACGAGGGTGCTCGGGAGGGAGTTCGTTTCTCTCAACCTTAGCCGAACGGGGGTGCTCGGGAGGGAGTTCGTTTTTCTCAACCTTAGCCGAGCGGGGATGCTCGGGAAGGTGTTTTTCTCAACCTTGGCCGAACGAGGGTGCTCGGGAGGGAGTTCGTTTTTCTCAACCTTAGCCGAGCGAGGGTGCTCGGGAAGGTGTTTTTCTCAACCTTGGCCGAACGAGGGTGCTCGGGAGGGAGTTCGTTTTTCTCAACCTTAGCCGAGCGAGGGTGCTCGGGAAGGTGTTTTTCTCAACCTTGGCCGAACGAGGGTGCTCGGGAGGGAGTTCGTTTTTCTCAACCTTAGCCGAGCGAGGGTGCTCGGGAAGGTGTTTTTCTCAACCTTGGCCGAACGAGGGTGCTCGGGAGGGAGTTCGTTTTTCTCAACCTTAGCCGAGCGAGGGTGCTCGGGAAGGTGTTTTTCTCAACCTTGGCCGAACGAGGGTGCTCGGGAGGGAGTTCGTTTTTCTCAACCTTAGCCGAGCGAGGGTGCTCGGGAAGGTGTTTTTCTCAACCTTGGCCGAACGAGGGTGCTCGGGAGGGAGTTCGTTTCTCTCAACGTTAGCCGAGCGGGGATGCTCGGGAGGGAGTCACGGGTA